CAAATGAATGCAAATAAATATAAAATTACTTTCCTGTTGATTGTGTTCATGTTGGATTGTTACAAATCTGTTACTTCCACTATAACTTTATTATTCTTTGCATTGTATAGTCTGCTTAAGAATTTCCTAGTGACAATGGGGAATCTATTCTAGTCACTAGAACCTCCAGAGCATAACTAATGTGTGCAATCTCTTTAGCAAAAAAGAATGGCTTGCAACAGTCTTGCTGCCTCAGTGAAACAATACAATCTGTCTGCTGTATGATGTCATTGCCAGAAGCCAAATAGTACAGTTTTTGTTTTAATGGAAGAGCTCTTTCACATTGCTGGTTTGACATGATGAGAATGCGGTTAGAAATGCTTCCTGTTCATTCACAGGCCCCAGGCTGTCCATGCATTTCAGCTTCACAAATGACAGCTGAAACCAATTAGGTAGAACTAGGGACAGCTAAGTCACATGCAGATTTATCATAGTTGAGGAAGAGAGGCAGAGTGGAGTATATTTCATTTAAAATATAAGTGGCTAATTAATAGTGAATGATTACTGAGTAAGGAGGAGTCTAGGCATACGCTCATTTTGTGAGATCCATCCCTGAAGTTCAGAGTAATTACATTGAGTAACTCACACATATGCTTGTGTGCACAAATGCATATATATAGTATATGCTTGTGTGAATTTTTAATAATCTATAGCAGCAGTAACCATGGCATTTAATTAAAAATATAAGCCCATATGCTCTGATTTACTCATCTATTTATTGTAAGTATGGAAACTAAGTATAATAACCTAGTGGAGCTGATACTGAACCTTAGAAAATGGGATTCTAATTCCTTTCCATTCATAAACTTGCAGGGGCTTGAACTCCACACAATATGGAGAATATGTACCTACTGCTGAAATCAACACCCCTATATCTCCTTATCCCAAAAGTAAAACAAAATTGTATTGCGTTGAACCTTTACCTTGCTTTCCTTAATTTGTTGCAATTTACAAGGGCGAGGAACATTGTGACATAATTATGCCCTGCCACTTTCTATTTTAGTAAGAGGGAGCATTAACAGAAAGCAGAGAACAGGACATGTGGGATAGCCAGCTTCAAGTTCAGCCATATGTTGTGTTCATTGGCTAGCTGGGGCCTGAGTAGCTACATGCTACTGGCTCAGCTCTTTTTCCTCATATGCAAAATAACACTTCACACAATGGTCCAGCTTATGAGAAAGTTTTTAAGGGCTGGTGCCCTCCACTGACATGCATGCAGAGCCTTCTTTCCTAACTTCAGTGCTAAGGAGCACGGATCATGCCTGTGGTTAGGGGGACATTGCCTATCCTCTCCCCAACTCTGAGGAAGCCTAGGGATTTTTGGGTCTTTGCTTGTACAAACTGAAGAATTTGGCATGGCATGGCATGGCATGGCCAAAATAACACCTCTCCAGCCTGCCCAAAACAGCAGGAGAAGGTATCCACTGGGAAAGATGGGATAAAAGCAGGACTGAGTGCTAAGCATGTAGGGTTAATCATATAGAGCTGGGCAGCAGAGCACCTACCTCCATTCAATCTTTCTATTTCTGGGGGTGACTGACAAGTGTGGGGCTGGTGACAACCAGCCAAGAAGCCCCGCAGGGTTGGTTAATCTGTACTTACTCATGAGCTCTCCCTTTTGCTCCTAAAGTAAAATTTATGTTTATTTATTATATAGTAACCAAACAAATACACTTTCTGGCCTGGCTACCAAGGGTAGCCAAACATTTAGAATCAGTGTCCAGGTTGCTATTATAATGAACATAAAATTAGAAGCCTGGAAAGGGATTCTATAACACAATGCAAATACTCCTGTGATCTAGGGATGATGGAGAAATCCACAATAGAGTCAAATGAGTTAGTATTTTTGAATTTAACTTGCAGGTTCTGCAGTGGTCCAACATTTTCCAAGTCATGTAGACTTCCTCGGGGTTTTTAAAACTTTTGAGGGAATTTATGAAAAAAATGTACTATATTCTTGTACAAAAAATCTGATCAAACAGTGGACAATTCCACAAAAAATACCTGGCAATGCACAAAATAAAGATGGAACAAACATAATGAAGAGTCTGAAGAATGAATGCTAATAAAGGTTACTAGTTCACCTCAGGGAACTACAAATTCTCCAAACTTTTAAGCTGCTTAAAACTCTTGTGTCTCAGTTCAAGTCCAATCTCAAACCACAAAAACAGTTGCAAAAGGCCTGATTTAGAACCATATATAAAACATTGGTTATCCATGCTGACCTTGGATTTGAAGGGAAATTGTAGTTTGTTACCTGCAAGTCAGAACTGGAAAGTAACATTTGTTTATGAGTTTACATTCCATTTGCAGGCAAATTATAGTTTATACACAACACTGAACTTGGCTTGTAGCCAAAAAGCCACCAGGAATGCCATTTGGGAAAGTGAGTGTACTGGCCCAGGAACGGCAAAACACTTGGTCCCTCCTCTGCGGCCAGCGCATAAGCCAAGCAGCTGGCAGAGGAGCAACTGATGTCTCTTCCACCAGGCTGTTTGGAAGAAAATGGTCTTTTTAAAGTAGGCTGCTGAAAGCCTATGATCTATTTTTTCCATACTGGCCATGCAGGCTGAAGCTACTCTCCTCCGCATGGAAACATAGTCTACTAGCTTCATAATAGGCTAATAAAAATATTTGCACGCTTGTAACCTTTATGGATTTATAAGATTGGTCTACAAAAATACAATCTGCACACTCCAACAGCAACTATTATTTTCCATAAATCAGAAGTCAGGGAAAGCACAAGGCAAACATAATCCCAAAGCTTATTCTCATGTTGTCCAACCATAATTGGGCATTACATCTAAACTAGTCCAGTATCTTCAGTGAGTTTTAAGCCTTTAATTCAGGCTTATGCTGTAGTATGTGTGCGTGTGTGTCAACTCTTTTAAAAAATCTATGTGTTTGTTTCCTTGTATACATAAGATAAACATGTGAGTAAACCTGATTTTTCCTGTTTGTTACATAAGGCCTGTCAATGGTAACTCAGTTTGAAGTAAAAATCAATCTGGCAAACTAGGTGGGACAGAAATCCCAAACAAACAAACAAACAAACAAACAAAAAGCTAACACTAATTTATGTAACTTTCTTTAGTTTCATGCATGTTCTGTGGTAGTAGTCAGATTGCCACATTACTGAAATATATCATTTAGATGTAAATTGGCAAGGTAAATGGGTTTTTATAGAATGAAATTGCTCATAATGAAGGGGGCATGAAAGTACAACTCCCCAGAAGAGTTATGTATAACATTAACACTTAAGTACATTTCATTTGACAAAAGAGATGCACTTGTCATTGAAAAAACAGATCTACTTATGGTATATTCCAATGCACACCTGTACATGAGTCCAATAGTGGTTCCTCCCAGGTAAGTAGATATAGTATTGCTGCCTAAACTGCATTAAATGTGTGCTATATAGCTTTCCAAACATTCACAATATATACATCATTTTAAACCTATTGCAGAGTCATTTTTCATATAAATTCTAATACAGGAATGCCAGCTGTAGACTCCAGGAGGTTAAATATGACTGCATACTGTACAATACCATGCATGCTCCAACTAAATGCTGGAGTAGTTCTTCACAAATACCATATGTCTGTCTTTTTTAAAAAATGTAGAATGATTAATTAAAAGTTCAGAGCCAAGACTTCACAAAGCAATTCTCTGAACAAAATTAGATCATTATATTGTGTACTGTGCAAGCTGAAGTTTTAATTAATAACTGAAATGCAAGTTAGGGTAAGGAGGCTACAGAGTAGAAATAACATCTACAAGACTTTTTCCTGACACTGCTTATTAAAACATGAACTGCCAGCTGCAGAAGTCACTTTGGGAGATTTTATGTATGCTGCTTCTTCCCACCCCAATTGAAGCCCCACAACAGCTATAGATCTGAGCACCTCAAATAAAACAAGTCTGTAATCATTGTATCTGTTAAAGACAATGACTGAAGAATCCTTTTACATTATAACAGTGTGTGCTACTGCCAAAATCACTGTACTCCATCCTTGTAAAGAAGCGCCCCGAAATGATTACACCACACCTATTTTTTCCTAGTAGGCTCTGAGGTGTTAGAGATGGAGACCTTGGTTCCTCCTGCAACACTCTGCTTCACTTCTATACAGTGTTGGGAGTGGGGTTCCATTCTTTTGCAGCATGCTTGGTTTCTCTGAAGGATGCCGTGTGCAACAGAGACACAAGAGAAACCTACTGTAGCAGTTTACTTCATGTCTTTGTATCCTCTCTTTTTATCTATAGGTCCCTCAAAGCAGTGAAGAACATACATTAAAGAAATATTAATGGATACTATTAAGGCATACTATTAAGAGCAATAACTAGTAAAATTAAACAGTTGGACTAAAAGCTAGAGGAGATGTTAAATGGTAATCCCAAAAGAAGAATAGCAGGAAAGAATATGATAAAACTTAACATAGTGCTAAAATGTCAATGAAGCCTCTCAAGGTAGGGATTTTGACGACTTAAAGGGAACTGAAAGGGTGTGTCCCATCCAAATGACCCTTGCATAACAAGGCTTCAGGTGACTTAACACGGGACTGGACTAGTTGGGTCACCATGCCAAAGCGTTATTCAGGTGTGTGGATTTTCATGTATACAGCTAAACTGGGTAAAGGGGTATGGCTTTGCATACCCCATGGGTGTGCCTGACCCCAATATCTCTGTGCATCCTGACTTCTGGTTAGATCTTCATGCATTAATAAGGTTCAAGATCATGGGAAGATGTAGTAATGCTGGGTGTGGGGCTTATGTGCCCAGCCATGTCCCCCTACAAATGCGCAGGTATATGCCTGAATGGGCTATGATTACAACTCAGCCCGTCCCACAGACTGCAGGGGACAATTGTGTGGGTTATTCAGATCTCTTTTATTCAGTAGAAGCCATTTTGCTTTTAGGAGTCCCAGTTCAGATAATAGAAACCAAATAAATTGTTAACTTACCACAAACTCAAATACTAGTGTCAATGTCTCCTTTGTGTGGATGATATCATGAAGTAACACAATATTTGCATGTTTTAGACCTTTCAAAAGAGAAGCTGAAAAACAAAAGCACAATTAATGAGAAATATGATTTAAGCAGCACACTCACCAAACACATGCCTGAAATTATAGCATTATTTAAATCTCTGAAGAAATATCCCAGAATGTGTGTTTCTATTGTGTACTTCTTATCACAAAGATTTCACTCATTTCACCCAAACCCACACAGAAGGGTTGTCCAATTTCACTCTTTCTCCTCTTACCCCACCCCATCCACTACCAACGAAGCCAACACCAAGTCAGGAAAATTAGAATAGGAAATATCATTTTGCCTCTTAAATATTTCGTCTCTTATATTAAGTAAACATGAATGTGTGCATAAGATTCCTATTAGAACCAGTTCAGCATAGGTTGGGTTTTTTATGGGGGCAGGGCAATTTGGCCTTCAAAGACCTGATTAAGCTATTTGGCAATATTAATGCTTGGAAGCACAAATATTTTTTTTTAATACCAGAGTTTTCAAATCAGTCAGTTCATATAAAAATCTGTATCTATATGTCTGTAGAATGGTTAATAGTAAAACCTCTTCCAACTGAACCCGTAAAAGGTTTTGCCATATTTTATTTTGCTCTGTAATCCATATTTAATGCCCACACAGTAATGCATATTTAATGTGCACATTTAATATTCCTAAGATATGGCATATTTAACCAATATGACATGACAAGTCATGTGTTGCTACAGATGCCAAAATGCCACTGGTAACTTGTCATCCTCTGCATACATCAGAGACAGGTTAACATTCAGCAAAATATAACTGAAGACAGCAATCCGCAAGTGTAATTTCATATTGCTGTTCTTTCTCATTCTTCATTTTCTTGTTTTGATTGATCTTCGCACCATTCTAGTTCTTCAATTCAATTTTCCAGAATCATTTGTAACAGGATAGAAATAGGGAGTAAGAATATGCATATGAAGAAGTCCAAAGGAATCCCATGCAAAAAAGCTATTAACTGTAACCTGGAGTGAGCAACCTCTAGCCCATGGGCCAGATGCAAACTGGACAGTAAGAAATGATATATAAATGCAATGTAATAGGTCTACATTAGGTATGAAAGATGTGTGCGTCACTTTTTTCCAATAAAAGTATTCTATTTTAGATCATGATCATTTAAATCAGCATATCTCAGAATCAAGCCACTCATGTTTCCTGACTCGTGCCAAATTTTAGTAAAGCTAGGAACCTGTCATAAATTCTAAACTTCAGGTTTGTAGAAAAATCTGCAGTAAACATGAATTTTCCAACAAAGCTCTTGCAGAAAAAACTCCTGGCTTTATTCACTGGTACTCTCACTACTATCACTTTCCTGCAAAGGACAGACCAGCCCTCTCCTGTTGCTAGGCAACAGCTAAAGAATTCAACCAAATATCTCTATCTCCTCCCTTTGCATGGCAGCATTTGGTGCTCCATCAGTAAATGCAAGTGAGAAGGAAATGAGTTAGATAAAAAACTAAGCTTTTAGAAAATTGTGATGAACTTTCCCATTTCTCTTTTTCAGAGACTATCTATTATGGAACATACCTTGAGAACCCATTGACATATAATAGCAGGATGCAATCCTTCCAAACAGCTAACCATGGTTAAGGCAAGGGATTAGACTGTAAGGTTACATGCGCTTTCTGCACAAGGCTTCCACACTCTTTCCTCTGAAATTTCCTATGATTAATGGTTACACAAACTAAGCAGGGTCCACTCTTAACTAATATTTGAAATTAGGTTTTGAAGCAGATCTCAGATCCAGGTAGCATTAACCACAGTCAGCATCTGTGCCAACATCATCATCAATCTAAATTAAGGCCAGTTGGAGGAAAGGCATGAACATCTGCAAATGAGGAGAGGAATGTCCAATCTCAGGGCTATTACTTCCCCCCATCCCCTTAATTTAACTTATTACTCTTTCTCCCTCTATACTTACAAGTTAAAATATTTCACATAGATGGTTGTGTACTTTTTTATTTCTTAAGAAAACCTCGTGCTTTAACAGTATGAGTTAAAGCATGAATTTTCTATTCTTCACTACTCAGTTATCACCTCAGACCCTTAACTTCTTTTGGTGTTCCTTCCTTTATCTTTAAAATCTCAAATGGGTCATAGTAATTACTTAAAATTACTATCAAAACTACTATTACTATAAAATTACTATTAAAATTATGCGAAATTACTATTAAAATTACTATATTACTATTTTAGGTTTCAATTAAAATAAAGTTAACCCCAAATTGAAATGCATACTTAACATTTCTACAGTGTTTCACATGGTTCAAAATATTTTATTACAATGTTAGAAGGCAAGTCAGTATTTATCATACCATAATGCTTAGTGATGAAGGAGCAGAAGCTGTAAGGCAGAGGCTTATCGGAGTCATGCCTAAGGACAACTAAGGAATTCATGCCCTTTGATCAGGGACTTCCCAGCTCTGAGCTCTTGGCTATCAGGGTTACACCAGGTCAACATGGTAACACAAACTAATTTTTTTATGATAAACAAAACATCGATTCTATTAAGTCATTTTATTATCTAAGTCATTCAAATTTCCTTGGTTTTGCTAAAAAAAAAAGTGACTATTCAGTGAACAGATGACTCTTTGGGGAATTTATTATTAAGCTGTCTGTGTTAGAGTAAAAAAAAAAGTGAAACTATATTTTTCTGCAGAACAGAACTCAGCCTAATATTGCATGCAAGCTGTTCTCAAAATGATGCTCAGAAAATGGTGCTGTTGCTCTGCCCTTTCAATATTTCTGCTCTTTAGCATGTTTCCTATGTAAGAAGGACAAAATACCTAATATTTGGTATTCTGCATAAGAAATATAGAGGCGATACTAAGGGGGGGGGGGACACCTTTCTTTAGAAGAAACAGAATCCTGTGGATTTCTCAACATTTTGCCCATCAATGCAAAGTTAAGTCTTCATGGTAATTTAGAAAAAAGATGCTATATGTAGTTTGACCTTCAATACTAGTCTACATATCCATGATCCAAGCGCACAGCCCTGATGAAGAAGTACAATGGGGGCTGTGCTATGCAGGGTGGAAGTGGAGAAATTATTTTTGGATACTCTTATATTCAAATACACACACCTCACTGTGACAAAGCTATCAAGAAAAGTTTTCTTTCCTGTTATTCTCCTTTACTAATTGTAGGGATATATTGAACATAGCAGAGTACTCAAAAGTGAGATTCCCAACCCATAATGCAGTATACCTCCTCATTCTGCTTGAAGAGTAGAACATTTATAAGAATAGACAAAGGGCTGGAATTTTTAAAGCAATAATACAGGAATAGGAATGAAAGAGGCAAAATCTTTTCTGTCACCTTCTACCCATACAGCTAGTAATCGGGCAAACAAAAACAGAATAGCTGTTTCACTACACAAATTCAAAATTAGATGTGAGGATTAGCAATAAGGGAACTCTCCTTAACTCAGTTTGGCTCCTGTACTTATTCCTTACTCAGTGAAAACCACTGGCATACTAAAATTTAAAAGCGCAAAGACCTTACTTTCTAATATGGCTTCTATGTGGGCTGACATCTCTAGCTTTAACTCTTATGATGTAAGTCTGTGGGGGCACGGATTTTACTGGAGGTTAAAACGAGTCCTTTTTAAGGCCAAGTAACAGACTGGGACTGTATGATAAGAAGCCAGGAGTCTCCCCGGCTGTTGAAGCTTGCTTCAGTGAAAGAGGAGCTTGCAAGCACTTCATAGTTGATACTTGAATGGTGCGGTGGCAATCCTGGGTGTGTCACCTGTTTATACTGAATTTCCCTACCTTATCCCTCTTTGTGCTTCAATTATTTGATTATAAAAATGGGTGAAGGGATTGTTGTTGAGTGTCTTGGAAGGACATCCTATGGAGATAAAGGTCTTCCATTATGAGAACGCTGGAACAGGGAAGAATAGGGAAGGCAGACAAATGGGCCACTATAGGAGAAATGAGAGTAAGCAGTTGCTACTATTATTTCCTCTTTGTTCACCAGGTGACCAAGGTCCTGGTTACTGTGGAGTTAACCTCCCTGGTTTACAGCAGTGCTTTGTACACCAGGATTCCCTGGAAATCTGGAAGGGCAGGTGGTATCACTGGGGTCCCTCAAAATTCCATCTTCCTGACCTACTGCCCCATTCAGCAATCTTCTCAGCTTGAGTGTTGATTATTGAGGATGGAGCTGTTGGTGTACTATCTAGAGAGCTGACACTCTCCTCTTCTCTGAGCTAGCTGGAACAGTCCTGAGTGCAGAGCTAGATGGGTGATGGTACAGGTCTTCGACATTCAAATGAAAACTGCCCCAATAGCAGCACATAACACTGACATTTTTTCTTCCGGAATGCTACGTGATTCCTGTCATGGGAAGCTCCCTCTCTTATAGGTTCTGGACATATAGGGACTTCTAATCTTTGCAGGTGTTGGGGCCTACTTAAAAGAACTGGGTCTGCTGCCTAATGAACCCAAGTGAGAAATTCCGAAGAACTGCCCTATAACGGCTCAGTCGCACAGAATGCTGACTGCCTGTGGGAAAAAGCTACAAAAGGTGGGAGAGGGAATACTAAGGACTGGGTTGAAATGGTACAGGGAAGAAGAGGCCAAAATGATACATCAAGTTGTGCAGATCTTCTATTTAATTCTGAAAAATCATTTTAAAATGCCACTAGGGACATGAGAGCTGCCCATGGAAATCAGCTGAAACAAACCAAGATTTGAATATGAAGTGTCTCCTTTCCACCCACCCCAAAATAAAGGAACTCCCCCAGCACAGAGACACATGCACTTGTGCAGAATCCATTGAGGACGGAGGATTGCTCAGTGGGAACAAAATGCCAAGTTAGGGAAGAAAAAATAAGGAGAAATGGCTGAAACATGAACAGAAGCACCTGGTACTTGTTTATTTTATTCACTTCTTGAGTTTTGCTGCCTTCTTCCCTATTGAGAAGAGCCAAAACGTAACAATGCAACTCACTAAAGCAGTAAGGCAGTAGTATCCTGATACAGAAACTAATCTAGA